TGGATATGAGTCAGCAGTGTGCCCTTGTTGCCAAGAAGGCCAATGGCATTTTGGGATGTATAAGTAGGGGCATAGCGAGCAGATCGAGGGACGTGATCGTTCCCCTCTATTCGACATTGGTGAGGCCTCATCTGGAGTACTGTGTCCAGTTTTGGGCCCCACACTTCAAGAAGGATGTGGATAAATTGGAGAGAGTCCAGCGAAGGGCAACAAAAATGATTAGGGGTCTGGAACACATGAGTTATGAGGAGAGGCTGAGGGAACTGGGATTGTTTAGTCTGCAGAAGAGAAGAATGAGGGGGGATTTGATAGCTGCTTTCAACTACCTGAAAGGGGGTTCTAAAGAGGATGGCTCTAGACTGTTCTCAATGGTAGCAGATGACAGAACGAGGAGTAATGGTCTCAAGTTGCAGTGGGGGAGGTTTAGATTGGATATTAGGAAAAACTTTTTCACTAAGAGGGTGGTGAAACACTGGAATGCGTTACCTAGGGAGGTGGTAGAATCTCCTTCCTTAGAGGTTTTTAAGGTCAGGCTTGACAAAGCCCTGGCTGGGATGATTTAACTGGGAATTGGTCCTGCTTCGAGCAGGGGGTTGGACTAGATGACCTTCTGGGGTCCCTTCCAACCCTGATATTCTATGAAAGGCCAGAAGAGCTGGGGTACTCCAGCCTGGCAACTCCCTAGGCTGAGGCTTGGCTAAAGGCCTATGCAGGTACCAGGGCTGGGAGGTGCAGTCCAGAGATAGGCAGAGGCACCAGGTCCAAACCCCCCTTCCCAGTGATGAGTGGTTTAGACTGCAGTCTGCCCCAGTGAGCAGGGGCTAGATGATGACTGGCAGTAGCCACTGAGGCAAGATGGCGATAGAGGGTTGGGAGTTCCCCTGGGAGGGGAGACCCAGAGTATGGGGATACTTCACCCCAAGGTAAAAGGGCACTGAGGTCCGGGAGGGACATAAGGGGCCAGTGGCAGGCGAGACACTGGCCTGCAGAGGGCACACTTTATGCTGGAGAGCTAATTCCCAGGATGACCAGCAGGAGGTGCCGCACCAGTGAGTTGTTGCATCGCTACAGGTGGTAGGTAACAATAAATGCTAGATTGAGTTCAGAAAATTGAGCAGGAGAAACCATTGGAACTGAATTTTGAATCCAGAGGGCCTCATTCTTCTCTTATCTGTTATAATTGCTTTTGCACTACCATCTTTTCTCCTCACAAGCTCACATGTAGATTTCAACTCTTGTCTGCAAGGGAGGCATAGAGCAGAGGCTAGGCAGATACACCAGACACATCATCTCACCGCACCCCCAGCAGAATTTCCAAGGAAAAATGATAAAAATGGCCTAAGGCTGTATTATAAGATCAAGCAGCTTGACTGGCTTGTTTTAAAAAATGCTTCAGGCTAACAGAATTAAATGTATATGAATTATTAACACTCACAAAAAGAAGGCAGAGGATAGAATTCAAACAAAAGAAATATGGGAACTATGTTTTTGTTACTTGTTCCAAGATAATATTCTTTTATAGTCCTCTCTTTTATGAGTTTCTTTCTGGGATAAATCTTTCTTTATACACTGTGGAACAGCTTCAACTATAGAGGCTGAGGAAGCCCCACATCAGGATATCCTGTACCATATTGCTTAGAGACTCTCATGACCCCTCCTCAAATCTCTTTTCCCCTCCTCAGGCAAAGGCAGGAATTGATCCTGGGTCTCCTATGTCTCAGGTGAGTACACCAACTACCGGGCTAAAAGTTATAAGATCAACAGTGGTAGTGGCTTCACCACTAGCTAGATTTTGATTTGGACTTGATCATGTAGGTAGCCTCTGAGCACCCTTACTGGATTAGGACTCGCATGCGAGACAGGTGGTGAATGACGGTCTTCCCCCAGTTCATGGATCTCATTGGGGCATAGGCAGGAAATAGGTGCCCAGATGCCTTGAGTGAGGCAGCAGTGCACATGCCCAAAGCCAGAAACTTAGGCGCTAAAGGAAATCTTAGCGCAATAATTTTGAGTTGAGTGAGTTTAGGTGCCTCCAGTACTAGGCAGCAGCTGAGTGGGAGTTTTGTGGATGACAGTGAGCCTAAAATGGGGACTTAGGTGCCTAAATATTTTTTTGATCTGGGCCACAGTCCCTACCTCATGACATGTGTAATCTAAATCTGCTGGATTGTTTTCTATGCCTGCTTTTGATCTCACCCTTCTGCTGTGGCCCCCTTCACACTAGATTAGCAGCCCTAAAGTACCCACAACTGGCTTAAATCCCTACTGTGCTCTGGGGATTATCTTTGGGTTGGGAGCTTCTTTGGGCACCGTGAGACTGATGGAATGGGTATGAGCAGGTATGTCCTTTAGCTCTTCTGGGGTGGCCGAGCATCCATAGGGAAGTGTTCAAAGCTGCCATAAATTAGAGTAACTCCAAGCAGTGCTTTAATGTACAGAATCTGTCACAACTCCAGCTGGGCTCAGAATTCAGAAGGCATAAAGATGGCTTAAAGTAACCTTTCCCCACTCCACTTTACTGTGCTGCTTGAGCCATTATCACTAAATCATATGACTGTATCAGCAAGCACCTAATCTAAAGAAGCCCCATTTTATGGTCTCAGAATGAAATAACAATTTATAATTGACCTTTTTGTGACACCTGTGATCATTTACCACAGGGATATAAAATAATGCCCTTTGCTGATGCCTATTTGCCAGACATAATAAAACTACTCACTTATGTTGCAAGGAGGCCTATCATGTGGCTTATGTTTTCCATAGACTGGAAAACAGCAAGAGGTAATTTAAATAAGTGTTTAATATTAAAAGTTCCTAGTTCCTCAGCCAGGAGGCTAATGAAGATTTAATATAAGAGAAGAAAGCTCCAAAGAAAACAAAATTAAACAAATGAGTTTTTGAAAGTCTTCAACTATTATCACTGTCAGATAAAACCAGTGAATCTTCATATGTAAATATATCAATACTGGCAGTTTTTTGTTGGGATGTTTATCTTGAGCCTAACAGGTTGTGGAAGTGGAGAAAGGGATAAAGGGAATTTGAGTGCAGACATCTTAGTTTCCTTAGGAATAGAACAAGTCAGGCTAACTCTAATAACGCGAGACTTTAAGGCAGGGCCTGGGCAAGTGGGAAGCGAGTGGGAAAACTGTAAGAGATGCTGTTTTGACCTTGTGTTAGATAAGAATAGAATGCAGACTGTAGCAGGAACTGCTTTCAAAGCAAGATATCAGGAAGGAATATGTATAAACAAGACGCAGCAGTTGACCATTATTGTATGTAACAAAAGGTATAAATGCTTGCTCTAATTGTTTATCGGGCGGCAACCTGCTTAGGAAGGGGGAATCCTTGTCCGTGCACACTCTCCCCCTTGCAATTGCTTGAGAATAAACTGTCTCTGACTTGTTGCAAACAACCTAAGAGTGAAGACTACGTTTTTCTTCCACAAGGTGAATGGCAGTGAGTTTACTTGCTTTTCCATTTTCAAAAGAGGCTAGAGAGTGGCTCACTCTTTATTAAACAGTACTGTATTCTACTGTTAGTGATTCACTGCTAATTAACTAAAGGGAATATATATGTAGTAACAATAGCACAGATGGTAGTCCTGGATCATGTTATATTTGAAACTCCTCTATTGTGCATTTTAAAACGGAAAAATAGAGATCCCAAATTACCTCGGTAGTATTTCAGCACTCATGGTCATAGTTCAAAGGTTACAAATAGACCATTTTTTACCATCTTAAAAATGGCTTTGTTTTCTCACTCTTTATAACTAGAAACACACTGTTTTGTTCCTGTATGTTGAACTGATAGCATTGGTTTGGGTTTGTTTTTCACTAAAAGCATTTTTAAATTAATAAAACATATGGTCAAACTTTCAAAATGTGGCTTTCAATTTTGTATGTGTATTTGCATCTCCAGTTATTTTATGCACACAAATAAATATTAGTACATGTAAATGAGGTAGCTGGGGTCTAATTCTTCCATATGCCTTAAAATCCCTTAGTAAAAAATTTTTATACACAAATGTGGCAATTGTAAATATTTGTCATAATTCTTCCTCTCCATTTCTCCTATTTCTCTCTCTCTCTCTCCATCTAGCTTTGTTGAATGGGTATTTTAGATTAATGCCTTATAAAAATCTTGTTTTGAGTGATTCTAGTAGGTGTTAAATGCACTATGATAATTCCCTGGCTTGCATTTAGGGTTGCCAACTTTCTAATCACACACAACTGAACACCCCTGCCCCACCCCTTCTCCAAGGCCCCACCCCCGGTTGCTCCATCCCCCTCCCTCCATTGTTCACTCTCCCCCACCCTCGCTCACTTTCACTGGGCTAGGGCAGGGGGGTGAGTGCTCCAGCTGGGGATGTGGGTTCTGGGGTGGGGCTGGGTATGAGGTATTGGAGAGGGTTCCAGGCTGGGGCAGGGAGTTGGGGTGCAGGGGGGTTGAGAACATAAGAATGTCCATACTGGGTTAGACCAAAGGTCCATCCAGCCCAGTATCCTGTCTACCAACAGTGGCCAATGCCAGGTGCCCCAGAGGGAGTGAACCTAACAGGTAATGAATGATCAAGTGATCTCTCTCCTGCCATCCATCTTCATCCTCTGACAAACCAAGTCTAGGGACACCATTTCTTACCCATCCTGGCTAATAGCCATTAATGGACTTAACCTCCATGAATTTATTTAGGGAATTTATCTGAGGACTCCGGCTGGGGGTGCAGGCTCTGAGGTGGAGCCGGGGCTGAGCGGTTTGGGCTGCAGGTGTTGGTGATTTTATATACAAGTGATTCTAAATGTTTAGTATAAGGTTTTTATATGGTTTCCCCTCATCAATTTGGACTTTGGCATTTTTCAAAATGGAGTCAAATCTCCATTTTGTCTCCAAAGGCGGGAAAATTCAGGCGCCAAAGCTGTGGCGCGAGAGTTGGTTCAAACCAGTTGGGACTGGCTTGTAACTGCCAGCCCCTCAGAACTTTCCCGCCACTCCTTCTTTGTCAGGAACTGTGCCACGTCGTCATGGGGCTGTCCGTCCAGGAGACAGCCGTGAGCAGTCGGGCTTTTGTGCGGGTCTCCGGATCAAGAGCTGTGAACGATCCTGTGACACCATCAATTTACCTGCCATCCAGGATCCTGTGGTCCCCCATCCAGCAGCTTTGGTCCACCCGCTTGTCACCATCCAGCAGCCGAGGTCCAGTGTTCCTCCCCAAAGGCCAGCGTTTGGCCTGAGGGTAGAAGGTCCTGGACCCACCACTCACTTCCATCTGACCTGCCCATAGATGACCTCGGATTAGCAGTAGGCTATACAGGGGATTTGATTTGATTTGATTTGTTGCTGGGGGGGGTCTATTGGGCCTGAGCTTCAAGCTCCTTTGTTGCAGTCCACTGTTTGCTGGGTTTTTATGTTTGCTTGTGGTTGTCCCCTTGCCCCTTTCATATAACCAACCCTTAATACAATGTTTACCTGTTTCAAACATAATTTTTGTGTCTCCTCTTCTTTCTTACACCACACTTTGGGAGGGAGGGTGGGACACAGGAGCTGCTTCCTCAGGTGATAGACCCTGATAGCAAGTCCAAGAACCTGTACCTGTAAAAGGGAAAGAAAGGCATATTGGGGTTCTTTTAGTTTTGATTTTTCCCTGGTTACACAGGAGGGGGCTCTGGGCTGGGGCAGGGAGTTGAGGTGCGGGGGAGGTGAGGACTCTGGCTGGGGGTGTGGGCTCTGGGATGGGGCCAGGGATGAGAGGTTTGGGGTGAAGGAGGGGGCTCCAAGTTGGGGTGTGGGAGGGGGTGCAGGATCCTGGCGGCATTTACCACGGCTCCCAGGAAGCGGCAGCCAGGTTCCTGCAGCCCCTAGGCGCATGGGTGACCAGGGAGGCTCCGTGCACTGCCCCCCGCAGCTCCCATTGGTCACAGTTCCTGGCCAACGGGAGCTGCAGTATCAGCACTAGGGGCAGGGGTGGCACATGAAGCTGCCCTGGCCACCCATGCTCCTAAGGGCCACAAAGGAGCCTGCCTTAACCCCGGGCCCACACTACGCTGCCAACCAGACTTTTAACAGCCCAGTCAGCAGAGCTGGCCGGAGCGGCCAGGGTCCCTTTTCGACCAGGTGTTCCGGTCAAAAACCAGATGCCTGGCAACCCTAATTGCGTTAAATCAGGCAAAGTTCAAGCAGACTGTGCTCTACCATGTGTATTGGAGTACTAATCTTTTAACAATGCTTCCTATGTTACTCCTGGATCTCTGTTGGACCACTATAACTTGTGCCAAATTGTATGGCTCTGTAACATGAATGTATGTTAACTAGAATAAGAATGCTAAATGTCCTTTCAGTAGTGACCTGAGCTAGGATTTGAGCTCAGGCCTATCCAGGGGGAAGACTAAGGCACTAATCCACTATATTACCTATCAGAAGATGTGGTAGTGGATAGCTAATCCTCAGACATGTCTGACTGTTTGATTCTGATGGCTGCAACATGAGGTTTCAGATAACATTTTATTTATATGATGTTTCCTGTGCCAGTTGCTCAGTACCTCCTCCCAGCTGAAAATACAGGACTATTATTATTGTCTGGAGGGAAGAAAACCTTCTATTTGTACTGCTGGCTAGAAATATTTCTGAGAGCAGCTGCAGTTGTATCCAAGATGGAAAAAGAAGGGGGGAAAATATCAGTAATATAAAAGCTGCAATACTGTGGATTTTTTTATTTAACAAAAAATATTAATTCACCGGCAAACTAATCTTAAATCTGTTCCTTTTTTTTAAATTATTTTTCAATTATGCCAAAACCAAGATCTGAGCAGCTGGAGAGAAAGGATGTCCAGGCTAAGCAAAACAATCTCCCTGGGTTTTCTAGTTTTACACCTTTTTTTTGTTCAATTGAAATTACACAAACCAGCAAAATCTCTGGCTGCATTCCCTTTGTACCATTTAACAATCTGTAAAGTCCATCTGCTAGGTTCGCTCTCTCTCGGGTACATGGTATTGGCCACTGTCAGCAGGATACTGGGCTGGATGGACCTTTGGTCTGACCCAGTATGGCCGTTCTTATTTTCTTAAATTTCTCCCTACTTAATCTATGGGCATAATGTTTTTCTTCCTTAGCTGTTTGTTCTATTGTGTGTTTTCTTTCCAGTGTAGAAAACAAGAGAGTCAGTTACAGAAAAAACAAAATATAAGTAATTATTACTCATTCCTAAATAAACAGCAGTCAGTCCTAAAACTTGGATCAATGAGTTAATCTGAGAATTTATTCACAAAGACCTACTTTTATAATAAGTCCATTAAACTTGGTCCATGCTCTCATTTCTCAATCAGGGATGAAGCCAAAATGTATAGTAGTCAGGACCAGATATTAAAGCAGGGCCTACCTGTAGCCCAGCCTCCCTGTAGCTGCCTAATCCCCCATGGACTGCCTCTGTTTCCCTTTCTTTCTACCCACCATTGGTGATCACCTAGCCAGACAACCACCCTCTGCCAGGAACACACACAGACACACTTACATTTACACTTAGCCATCCAAGCACCCACACTCAAACTGACCAGTTCTCATCCAGGCACTCAGATTACCATGATGATGAACACAGTATAAGAACCTGTACTGAATAAAGAACTCATCTACATCCTGGGGCTTTCCCTCTCAAACATCCGTCATTCTAGTCCCAAAGGTGCATGTGTTCTACACAAATTTCATGCCCCCTTTCTCTTAATGCTTGAAAATTATTTACATCAGAAATAAAATACCATAAAACTGAGCTCACAGTTAATTACAGTAAGGGAGTGAATCTCCCTTCATTTAAATTTTCCTGCTTGAATTAGAGGCACCAGCTTTCTAATGTGCAACCCCCAGCTCTGCCCCTGGCCCCATCCCCACTCCATCCCTTTCCCCAAGGCCCCACCCCACCCCTGCCCTGTTCTGCCCCATCCCTCGAGTGAGCCCGGTCCTCACTCCTTCCCCTCTGCCCCCCCAGCACCTCCTGCATGCTGCAGAATAGCTTATCGTGGCTGTTGGGGAGGTACTGGGAGGGATGGGGAGGTGCTGATCGGCAGGGCCACCAGCAGGGGGAAGGCACTGGGGAAGGGGGAGGAGCTGATCAGGTGACATTTTCAAAATATAATTATATTTAATAATCAAAATATCCTGCACTCAATGAAAAACAAACTATACTCTTATCTCATCAACATGAAATTTCAGAAGCATGTAGCTCTTGACTAGGAAATGCATTCTTACAACTTTTTATTATTCAGTGTTAATTATAAGGAAAAAGTAATTCTTAAGAATGTTTCTGTTGTGTTTAAAAAAAAAAAACAAAGGGGAACCTTCCCTCTTCTCCCCTTCCCCCATCCATGGCAGATGTAATGCCTATGATATAAATTTTCATGATATTAATCTACTTGCCGGAGGCTGTTCAGTCCCTAATCCTGTAGGGGGTTCAAAAGATGTGTGCTCTACTCAGCCATCTTTCCTGAAACAGATGCACATTTTAAGTGTCCAGAGTGTCTGGGAGAGGCTAATGCCGTATCCCAGTGCACAACTAAATGCTTCACTTCTCAGATGACGAAGGACAGAGAGGTAAGATTGCAGGTGCACTTAGTTCCTTAAGCCTTCACTGGATCATTCTAACACTCCTTTGGAAGTCTGGAGGCCAAGGCTTAAGGCTCTGTGCCAAGGCTGTCTTCTGTAAAGAGATCTGAGACACACCCTGCCATGCTAGCCTTGGAACCGCCCTTGATGTCAGGACCAGGATTGAGCTCCCTGAGGCAAACATCTGCTGGGACAGAGCTTTCTACTCACTGTCTGGCCACACAGACTCCATCAAAACAGACTGTTCTGGCAGTATGGTCTATGTTGGCACCATCACTGGCACAAGAAACTCCTCTAGTGCTGTTAGAGTTGACACCAGTTCATGCTGGAAGTGAGAGACTTCCAGATCTCCTCATGACCCTGTTCCAGGGAAGAGGAAAGCAAAGTGGAAGGATTCTGGTTCACAAAAGGAGCCTAAGGAGAAAAAGAAGGGGGACATTGTTCTCCTCCCAGATGTATGTCACCTTTGGCAACTTCTTGTTGGTGTTGCAGCTGTCCTTGGCAGACACACCAGCATACATTCCTCTGACTCTATTTCCCTTCTTGTGACTGGGGACTTAAGAAAGTTTTGGAGAGTCCTTCACTCTGTGCAGCAATATTTGTCATTGGTATCAATCCAGAACATCCTTGAAGAGCACGGGATTCCCTCAGAACCAACCATGCTGAGCCTACTAGGCTTCCCTTGACAAAAGCTCCATCTGCCTGGAAAGACCTTATGCTAGTCCCCCTCCAACTGTTAATATATCCTTACATTCAGGACTCATTAGAGTCTTTGTACAATGTCTCCAGAATCAGACATGGACTTTGACACCAGGAATACCATTATCACCGAAGCTCCACTGATACTGGAGGTACCTCCATCCATACTGAGAGCTTTCCAGGCACCATCCTCATCTCAGGCACTGCTGCCTTCAAGGGAACCCATGTTTCAATCAGCACAGATACAACTGGCACTCAATCCCAGCACTGGTCCAGTTGCCTTCTCAAAAGGAGTGGCACATCTATGATGACTGGCAGGAGAGTCCTTCAGAGGAAATGGAGCAGTCAGTCTTGAGGAATATACCAGTGGTATGTCCCTTGAGGATCAAATTGGGACTTCGTCTGTCTCCCCTTCTGGTGAACAAAAGCAATTTCAGGAGCTGATGGGGAGAATGGCTGACACCCTATAGTCTCTGACCCCACAGCTTCCAGGCTTTTTAGAAGAATAACTAATGCCTTTCCCTCTATTAGACTACATCCCCCCAGCATGGGACTTGAACCTGGTGTTAAGTATGTTGATAGGTCTGCCTTAAGCCTCCCAGTCTCAAGCTTTCTGAGAACACCTTTTTATAAAAATGGCATTTTTAGTAGCGATTACATCTGCTAGGAGGGTTAGCAAGCTCAGTGCCTTGATGGCCTTTCCGCCATATACAGTAGTACACAGTTAGGAGATCTCATCCCAGCTTTATGCCTAAACTGATCTCAGATTTCCATCAGTCAGAGTAGATCTCCCTCCCAGTTTTCTTCCGCAGACCTCATGCTCATCCAGGGAAGTCCCCCTTGCACTCCTTAGATGTAAAATGAGTCCTGTGCTATTACCTAGAGAGGACTAAGTCTTTAAAAAAATCACACTGATTACTTGCTGCATATGGGGAGATGTGTAAGAGGGAACCTCTTAATAAACAAATGCTTTCCCACTGGACTGAGAGATGTATCAAGTATTGTTACTCTTAAGCCACAAAACCAGTATCTCTTTGCTTAAAGACACACCCTACTAGGGTCACAGTTTCCTCTGTAGCTTACCCGGGACAGGTTCCTATTGTAGAAGTTTGCAAACCAGCAATGTGAAGTTCCATTCATGCTTTTGTTAAATATTACTCATTTGACTTAGCATCGTGCGCCAACACTTATTTTG